CTCCCCTCCCCTTCCCCTTCTCTCCCCTCCTCTTCTCTTTTCTTTTCTTCTTTTCTTTGGAGGATCGCTCTGTCTTACCCAGACTGCAGTGCAGTGGAGCAATCTTGGCTCACTGCATCCTCCGCCTCCTGAATTCAAGCAATTCTGCCTCGGCCTCCCAAGTAGCTGAGACTACAAGCACCTGCCACCACACCCAACTAATTATTATTAAGTAGAGATGGGGTTTCACCATGTTAGCCAGGCTAGTCTTAAACTCCTTACCTCAGGTGATCCACCCACCTCAGTCTCCCAAAATGCTGGGATTACAGGCATCAGCCACTGCACCTGGCCTGTGATTGGCTTATTTTGTTTAGCCTAATGTCCTTCAGGTTTATGCATGTTATAGCATGTGTCAGAATTTTCTTTTAAGGCTAAATGATATTCCATTGTATGTGCAGAATACTTTTTGTTTATCCCTTTATTCATTAGTGGACACTTGGATTGCTTCTGGCTTTTGGCTGTGGCAAATGATGCTGCTATGAACATAGATACACAGATATCAAAGAGATACGTGTACAGATATCAAAGAGTCCCTGCTTTCAGTTATTTGGGATCCATACTCAGAAGTGGAATTGCTGGATCATAATGGTAGTTATTTTAATTTTTTTGAAGAGCCACCACAGTTTTTCACAGAGGCTGCAGCATTTTACATTGCCACCACAAGAGTTCTAATTGCTGCATGTAACACTAATGCTTGTTATATATTATCTTTCTCCTATTGATCAATGAGGATGTAATTCCTGTATACACACAAGCTCAGCACTTCTTTCCTTCTTCTCTATCATAGTCCTATTGTAGTAACCCACAAATAGAAAGCTGACAAGAGACTCATATCCAATTTTTTTTTTTTTTTTTTTGAGATGAAGTCTCACTCTGTCACTGAACCTGGAGTGCAGTGGCACAATCTCGGCTCACTGCAACCACCTCAACGTCCCGGGGTTCAAGCAATTCTCTCTGCCTCAGCCTCCCAATTAGCTGGGATTACAGGTGCCCGTCACCACGCCCAGCTAATTTTTGTATTATTTAGTAGAGACGGGCTTTCACCATATTGGCCAGGCGGGTCTTGAACTCCTGACCTCAGGTGATCCACCCACCTTGGCCTCCCAAAGTGCTAGGATGACAGGTGTTAGCCACCATGCCCAGCTGATATCCAAATTTAAAGAAACAAAATTTGCTTTAAAAAATCCTACCCATAATAAAGGCAACTTGATAAAAATAATATGGGTGGCTGGGCAGAGTGCCTCACGCCTGTAATCTCAGCACTTTGGGAGGCTAAGGTGGGTGGATCACTTGAGCTCAGGAGTTCGAGACTAGCCCGGGTAACATGGGAAAACCCCATCTGTACAAAAAAAAAATTAGGGGTAGCAGCCCACACCTGTAGTCTCAGCTACTTGGGAGGCTGAGGTGGAAGAATTGCTTGAGCCCAGGTGGTCGTGGCTGCAGTGAGTCAAGCTCACACCACTGAACTCCGCAAATGGGTAAAAGCCTTTTCACAAAAGATATACAAATGAATAATCATGTGAAAATTGCTCAACATCATT